GTACAAATCGGGGGGGTAGGGTGCGCTGTTTGCGGCGCTCGGATGTTCGCTTATCGTAATTGCAAGTTCCAAGGAATGATTTTAGATGACCTGTTTTACGATTAATTGCGATATGTTCTGCCTTTGAAAGACGATTGAGAACGATGCTTTTTTTAACATGGTAGCAATGTATACCCTGACTCCCCATTCTTATTGCTTCTCAATGAAATCAGGGTATAGTTTTGAAATCTTCGGTTGTTATTCTCGATTTTTCAGCGAGTTGTTTGCTTAAAACGCGCCCAGGTGGCCGGTTGCATACCCTTGGCTCGGATGGCAGGGGTAGGGGGGGGGCAATTTGACCCCCCTCTGAGATCTCAGAAACTAAGAGAGCTACAAATACCAAATTCACAGGGCGTGTTGACCTGTTCGTGAACCCACTTAGGTTAAAGCTTCAGGTTCCTACGTCATGACCTTTGTGTGAAAGAAGGTCAAACAAGGCAAATTCCAGCTTGCTCTCGAAAGGGCCTCTAGAACCTATAAAACTGCTCTTAATCAAATGTCACATGTTTATTTAATGTCAGTGACCTTGTTTGATCTTTTACAGGTCATGGTGACCAAAATCATGCAAGAATACTTTGAGCTTTGCATTGATATAAGGAACAAGGAGTATGTGCCTAATAACAAAATTACCTGAGTTAACCTGAGTCAACCAAGTCAACCAAGTTAACCAAGCCCTAGAGCAATAAAACAGGTTGGTTTTGGCTTTGATCTGATCTTCATACCTCACCCTATGTAAATCAATATATTTTTAACATTAAATTGTTGTGTTGCCTAAGAAGTATCTCAGAGACATATGGCATCGTCCAACACTCCATTGTTTGATCAGATTAAACGATTCCCTAGAACTTGTCTTCGCTGAAACCATGGCCTGACTGACCTGCCATAGGTGGGCGACCCTAGAAGCCACATCAAATCTTTATGGCACAGATTCGCTATGTCATTGTGCGCAGCCATGCGAAATGTGGTGCGGCTAGGCCGTAGCGTTAAGAAACCATTTTAGAAAAACCTTCGGGGGTCAATTTGACATTCACCCGAACGCGTGTTAAGGCTGTTCAATTTCGGCAAGCTAGTCTTCTAATTTGTCATGTCTGGTATGACTTTCCTGTGACTGGTGCTCGTTTTGTAAAGAAAGTAAAAATATGCTTGCTTCGTGATTTCTTTGTGTTTGGTAGCACACCGCGGTTCTGAAATGCTTAACCATGAGAAAGTCGACCATCGTCTATAAATCTTTCTCAAACGGTAAATGCATCCTCCTGATCACTATACCGTGTTCATTGACAACTGAACAGACTGACTATCATTGCAGATCAGAATATTCAAGCTGATGAAGTATGCGACGCATTGATAGCAACTGACTTGGTCAGGCGTCCGAAGGAGGTGCATTCTGTGCTAGCACAAGCAGTTCTCTGCAAGATAATTGTCGTGCACCTCTGAACGAGGTCCGAGAAGAAACGAGACCGACGAACGAGAAAGCCGCCTGGAAGACGACCATTGCAGCTCCGTATGGGTCGTTATACCCTCACAGATAGTTTTAGTTTTTGGATTGGCCTTAAAACCGTTTGATTCGTATTGTACGCTCGTACTCCCGTCATTGTCCCGGAGATATCACATATAAGTACTGTGCTATAGTGCGCCCGTTACTTTGCGCCCAAGACTTGCAGCTGAACCTAGCATGCTTAGGCCATGGACACGGACCCCCGTCCCTTTCCCCCTCCCAGCTCCCCGACCAGTACACTGGCGTCACACTTTTTCAGGAGGAAGACGTTGAGGGCAGAGCCGTTGCCTTAGAGCCATATAGATCGTCAAGCGCGCAATGCAATTATAGCTCAGCACAGAAGGAACTACGGCTTGTGCTGGCATTGCGTAGTGCTTGGGTGATTACTCACTCTGAAAGAACTTGGAGCCAAAGTCTCACCATGCTAGTTTGCGTTGGCTACTAACGAGGGATGCTGGTGTGACGTTTCGAAATGATTTCAGGGATTGAATGCAGCATCGTCTCTCGTCCAGACCCTGATGCTGCACCGGCTGACGTAGAGAGCTCAAAACCGCTGGATATATTTAACACCGAGACTCAGGCGTCAGGGGTGAAAGTCATGTGCACCAAATCGTGGTCGAGCGGGCTCCCTATTCCCTAAATTCATATCAGGAATAGCGAGGAAGAAGAAATAACTTATTGTTTCATAAAGCACAAAACGTAATTCGTCTTCGAATTTGGCGTAGTTTACGCAAGACATGTGAAGAGCCAATTGACGGCTGTTATATATCGAGATCGTGCACACGAACGCCAGATATGAATAACTCGGCCATGACTATTGCCTTGTTCTATGATGCCACATTGCCAGTGGAATGGCAATAATTGAATTCCGTCATTATGGCGTCATGGATGTCCGGATAACCTTGAAAATGTGAAAATTCCATACAAATGTGAACCACTCCCTTTAATCACCTTGAACCCACACCTAGCATTAGTCGTGGTTTACTTCAACACGCAGGAGCTTGAACACACTGGGAGCTAAACACGTCTAATTATCCAGCGAAAAATGTCGAATTCAGAAAGATAGTCTATGTACTGGACGACTTTAAAAATCGACTGTACTCGGCACGTTTACACATTGAAAGTTATAGGCAAAGGAACGTTTCAAAAAGTGGGGAGGGGGGGCAAGCTCAAGGCGTACCTCAGGAACTCTTTCCGGAAGGAAGCCCAATGGCCAAGAGAGGGGAAGAGGTAGAGATGGAGGTTGTTTTCGCTCTTTATTCAAACGTCATGGCTGCTATGCCACATATGCATCTAGAGCTGTTTCCCACTGGTGCACAATCTCGCTTACTCGACACATCTGTCATTTGGCAACTGAGGCTGTCTAGCTTCCCACGGATTATTCGTCCATTTCAACATTGTTTCTCATGGAAAGGCGAAATTCTACAAGCGGTTGGGCATTTGGGTCATTGAGGAGGCATCTGGCTGCACAGGTTAGGTGCCAAAATGCCGCCTGGACATAGGATGGTGAAAATTTTGAAAGCGAACTTAGTGACCCCACAGTGCGACAAATCTTTCATGCGCCTCCATTTCGTCGGTGCTTTTGAAGACTTGTCACGGCATTTTACGCGCAAACAGATTCGGATTTTTGAAACTGAAAAAACTCCGGAAAGCTTAGGTATGAACTGGCTTAACGGACATTTAGTCGTCCGCCATTTAACTTCCGCGACTTCATTTACTTTTGTGTCTGGGCAGGGTCATAGCCAGAGCCTTCCCGGCGGGGGGGGGGGGAGTGCAGGGTTGACAAAAGCCTCTTTATTGTGACACCCGACCAAAAAATCCTTGGGTATATAACTTACTTGTTTACAAAAGACATGGTTTTCTTCGTTTTGATATTTTTACCTTGTAACCCGACCAGAAAAACAGAATTTATCGTGAGATAAGTTGCTGTTTGTATTTTGAAGTCAACAAGCTACAGAAATCAGTCCTTGAACAGCCGCATGGAAAAACATTCCCGACACTTAACTTAAAATGGTTTAGTTAACTCTTTCCAAACTGATATATCTCAGAAGGTTTGTCAGATTTTTTTGTCTGGGCTTTACAGACATTAGAGGCTTGGCGAGGAAAAGTTTTAAATCGATCTGTTTGATCAACATGTGATGATGAGAATTTTGTTTTAGATCGAGGTTGTGTACAATATGTATTAAACATGGCTAAGTCGCGTTTGTCTGGAATTGTTCAACATTCAGTCAGAATCCAATAGAGAATCAATTTATGTAACGGGGGTTTTTAACAATGCGCGCTTTCAAGCGTTAGCAAGAAACACTTCAACGTCAGGCGTTACATTCTCCATATTCCGCCGATCGCTAGCCCAGTGGCTACCTGTTAGCCGTGGCTCACCGGTGCACGGAAGTGATGACGCTTCTAATTAATTGCCTTTAGACACTTAAATCGGCTAGTGTTCCAGTTATGTAACCTAATTCTGAATAAGCGCACCTCGCAAATCTTGATAACGAAAACCTCGAAGCCAGGCGTTGCAGTTTTCCCTACTCCGCGCGGCATCGGCCCAGCAACTAATATTGGGCCGTGGCAAACGGGTGCATGCAAATGAAGAGCTTTCTAAAAGAACTGCTTTTAAATGGTTCGTGACATAAAGTTTTACACTTAGAAGATAGTCTGGGCGCATATTTTACTACGCGATATTAAGACTGATGATAAGGACTGGTTAGCACCTAAAGCACCATGGATGGATGCTGGAATCTGGTACTAGAAGATGAAAGGCAGAATCTCTATTTTCGTGTTTCAGTAGCTATTGATATGTCCAGAAGACAGATAATCACGGCTCCCGCCGTCAGGTGGCACTTGCAGTGGCCGACGCCGCTCGGTTTTACGGGAGCTACAACTCAGGCCATCGCCGTCGCTACTCTCGAGGCCACGGGCAGTCATGTGCAAACTTTTTGATGAAATTTGTTTCAATAATCCATTCTGAAAAAGTAAACGTTCTCAGGCAAACATGGGATGACCTTGTTCGTTTTAAAAAAAATCATTTCAATCCACTCTCACATGGGCAAGACCTGTAGAAAAGGCACATCAGCAATGCCCACCAAAAATACAATGTTCCAAATTTCATAATTTTGAAGCAAGCATGGAATATGGTGAAATAGGCTGTCATTTAACTGTTGGTATCGTGGGTGCAGGAACAGGTGTGGGGGGGGGTATGCCCCCCCCCCCCACACACACTTTTCAAGGTCGGGGGCCAGCAGTGGTAACTGCCCCCTCCCCCTACACTTTTCCAGATTTAGGTTGCGTTCAGCTCACTTTTGCATTACATTTAAAATACATGGTGATGTAACTAGTTCATCAGTCATCTTCCTCAAGATGCGTCATCTTTTTCGCTTGCCCATTGGCCATCGCTTGGTGCCAGCCGCCAAATTGACGTAACGCGACCTATGGGGACTGCAACGCAGAGCGTCGAGGCTGTTTCTGTGACTTGCCGGCGCGCATGTTCAAAGTCAGATTACATAGTCTTTATTAGTTTTTTCAACTCTGACTGAATTTCGAACATTCTAAGGTGAACATAGATTACCATGTTATCACAAATCTGGACCCCATTCCATCCACAATCTGGGTTTAGGGAGTCCCCAATATCTCTAAAGAACACAGAAAGATGTGGAACTGGAGTATAAGTGACATTTATTGAACCATCTGCCGCGAATGCTGTTTTGTCAGTCGAGGTTCCTCTGCTGGTACGGGAACAACTGTGCGGGTTAGAGGGCCTCCCGTGTCAGCGACGGGAGCAATGTGATGTAAGGTATCCTTCTGAGGGCCTCCGGATCGACCAGGAGATCCCGCCCCGTATCGCCAGAATGACAGCCAGAGGTCACTTGTTGATGGGACGGAATGGCCATTCAGCCCTTGACCAAAACCGGTTATGTGCCCCCTTTATTCTACCTGAGGTGCCCTTCGCCCGGAAAGAAATGAGTGGTCTCGAAGTTGCTGGGAAGTGTGGGGCTCTCATTTTGTTACATAGAGCGGATCCAAATGAGTATAAAAAACAACAACAAACAAACAAGGCCATCCCATGCTTGCCTGACATCTTTTGTTTTTCAGAATGGATTACTGAAACAAATTACATCAGAAGTCTGAACATGCCCGCCCGGAACACCTAGAGTGAGGACAACGTTGGTCTGGGCTGCAGTTTCCTTAAAACCGAACGGCGTCGATCATTGCACCAGATCGCCAGATTCCAGCAGCACTTCGCGATGCTTTAAGAGCAATCCGTTCTTATCATCAGTCTAAGAGCCGCACACGTGAAAGGTCCGCCCAGACTACCTTCTAAAAGAGAGATTTGATTGTCCTGTGAAGCGTTCAAAAGTACTTCTCTAAAAGTGTCATCATTTTCGTACATCCGTTGGTCACGGCTCAATCTTAACTGCTGACGGACGCTACGCGGTCTACAGGGACTGCAACGCCTAGCGAAGACGTTTTTTCACTAAGATTTCCGAGCGCGTATGCTCCATACTACGTCACTTAACTTGTGTAAATACTTTATTTAAGTGTTTAAAGGTAATTATTACAGAATCTTCATCACTTTTGTTCATCGGTGGGGTACGGCTAAGAGCGTTAGCCATTGGGCTAATGCTTCGTGGACGGAGGAGACTGCAACGTCTAGTGTCGTCTTTTTTGTTTCTAAGAATTGCGAGCGCGCATGTTAAAAGATTAACTTTTATAACTTGTATCACTTATTACCTCTGACTGACTGTTAAACGTTTCTGGACAAACATGGCTTAGGCACGCTATTCCACGTTGTTGACGACTCTATCTACAATCAAATTTTCATCTTCGAAATCAATCAAACATCGATTTACGATCTACAATACGATTTACAATTTACAACTTGCAATCGCAAAGTACGTAATGTCTGTAGAACCCAATTAAACAATTTTAAAAAAGCTTTTTTAATAGATTTAGAAAGAGTTCACTAAATGATTAGAAATTAGGAGCGTCAGAATAGCATAGATGATAGACTTATTCTGCAAATAAGGCTATTATCCTGCGAAGCTGGATAGCCTTAGTTTCCGAATGGCATATATAAATCGAATAGGCAAGGAAGTGCGCCTGTGCGAAACAATTCCACATACATGTCAAGCGTAGCGGCAATGACAATTGAATAAAGAGCAATAGGAACCTCCATCCCTACCCTCACCCCTCTTCCCGCGGTCATCGCGCTTGCTTTCCAGAAAAGCTCCTGCAGTACGCCTTGTGCCTGGCCCTCCGACTTTTTGAAACATACCTCCGCCTATAGTTTTAATGTTTTTCTACGGACCGGTCATCGATGGTCAAGCATGGTAAGACGTTGGTTTTGACCAGAATTGACTTCTGGCAGGTGATATGATTAAAGCTCAATGATTAAAGCTAAAAAATTCACGAATGACAACGCAAATTTTCAGAAGGATGGCCTGATTTCGTTGAGTGGCAGTTAGGACGGAGCTTTATGCAAATATAGCGGCTGTTATTTGTACTTGCAGCACATAACAGCAATTGGCTGTTTTTGTTGAAGGTATGGTGCACTCAATATTTCTTGCTTTCCACACAAGAAAACAAACCTTTACCATAAATTCACAGTTAATATCCATGATCTATGAAATGCATGGGAAACTGTAAGCCTAGCATTGCCCAAGCCTCGCTCACCGGCCGAAACAGCCGGCAGCTAGTTACCAGCGTATCAAATACGGCAAGAGTTGTCGAAACTGGAACAGGTGGTGGCCTTGAGTTGTTTATCAAATTCTGAAGACGACGCAGCCTACATCCAGACCGCAAAGCACTTACACTGTATGGTTTTCCCTTGCTGCGATTGTTACTGTATTTACCATAAAGGCCTTTGTTCTGTATGATTTGTCACTTTTTAGGTATTTGTTGATACGTGCATTTATGTATGAAAACATCTTCTCAACATATGACGTCATTAAGGCACTAGTCAAAGACCGTAACTTGCACTCGGCAGCTTTTGCCTATTGTAGAAAGCGGTCCTGAACCCTACTTTTGCAATTTTTGGTTGTTTTCATGGTCGATTTTCTGCACAGGTTACAATATTTCACGGATTTGGTTGGCATTACTAAGTGTCAATGATATCACTGGAGAGGCACCTATTCATGGATGAAATATTTTAGCTTTCTTTGGTTTGAAGGCAGGCGTGTATTTGTTTCTAGGTCGCTATATTTTTTTTCTGATGAAGTATCGCAAGATAAGGCTGGGATTTCTAGCTGACTGGGATTTATCAGCAATGCTGCCAAATTGCTGCCAGCTGAGAGCGCATGATGCTTCCAAATGCGATCTTTTTCGTTTTTTCGACCTCTGAGTGAGCAAAGATGTCTCATAGGGGGCAGTTCTGGAAACCAAAACAAACGATGCATTGGAGAGCTTTGGACCAAAAAGATGCTGAATATGATTGCATTTCTCAGTGTGCAGGGAGCGGGGAGAGCGACCAAGAAGAGAGTTCTTTCATTATCTTCCAGTCGATCCTGTGAGGCAAATATTCACAGATCAGAAAGCTTAAGGGATCAGCCTCAGCCTTCAAGCACCACCATCTATAGTTTCTGCCAGACACCAGTTGCGCAAGCAAGTGGGGGGGGGGGAGCACAGGGGACACGTGAACCCCCTAGGTTACGAGGATGGCTGGAATCTTAAATCTGAGGGCTGGAAAGGCCTAAAATGCCGCTCGGAGGTCATACTTAGGGGACTGACCGGCAGAGCCAGGCACTCTAATGCCACCACTCTATGGAGACTGCAAGGTCAGGCGTCGAGCATTTCGTTTCGAAAAATTTGCGAGGCCACATGTTCAAAACTACGTTGCATAAATTAAATCACTAATCGATTCTGCCTAATGTTGAACATTTGCAGACAAACATGGCTCGGCCATGTTATACAAATTGTTCAACAACTTCTATGTACCATGTACCTTCGCAGGGTCCTAGTATCCCGGTATAACCGATATAAAATCCGGACGAAGCTTCTCAGTTCTGTCGGTTTAGAAAGAGTCCCCTGGACCATTGTAAAGTGGAGAGCGCCGTCAACCCATTTTATGCAATCGCCTAGCACAGGATTTCTTCACTTTATTATATACTAAATGCATGCAGATTTTAACGGCCGCTAGCTCCAATAATAGACGAAAAAATAGAAAAATGCTCTAAAAAATTCGTTCTTTGACAAATGAGCCATATCCGGCGACTTTTGTGGGACCTTTAACTATCAGGGGAACGCTTCTCAACTCTGTGCATCTCCCTTGCCAAGATTCTAACTGCACGCCTGCTAAGCAGGCACCTTGCCATTTACTCAGGGGCTCAGCAGTCCGTAACCACCTCTCCATTGGCTGCGAGGAAAAGGAGGGTGGCCACCCAGTTCGTAGCACATCAACATTGTATTCAACGTGGTGGATAGAGATCTGCCTCTAGGGCTGAAACAGTGCAGAAAGAGCAGAACACATGCACAACCCGACTATCGCACCACCCACTGCCACTTTGCATTGGCCACTAAACCTTTGATCCCAGTACCACAGCTCGTCCTGTTCACTGAGGCTTCAACAAGATAAGGAAAATTTTTAAAGCAGCAGTATGTCGCCAAATATCCGTAGAATTCTCGAGGCCAAACGTCTCTAGCAACTTGGAAGCAATCACGCTGGATGTTGTATCCCGGAAGTGGTGCGGCGATTCTTGTGGGCTGGAACATGAATAACGGTATGAAAGAAATGGAGAGTAGTTCTAAGCCACCGTGTGGATTTTATGTACTGTCCCATGATGTTTTCACGTAAGGACAGCAAAAACCATACAGGAGGCTGGCTGTTGTTGTTCACTGAGAAATATGACACTTTGGCAATTGTGACGCAGTGGAAAAACGATTGTGCTTACGTAATGTAATGAACTGAGACTTCCAATGACTTGAAATATGCATTATTTTTTACTCTGTCAATGTAAAGCTATCAGCTGATGGATGTACATGAAATAACTGGCCTGCGGTCCTTGAATAGAATGATAAAACCTTTGGAGCATTTTGGTGAAAGGCAATATGACATATCAAAGATTATATGACAAAATATAAAGATAATATGAAATATCATATGACAAAAATCAAAGCCATAGTGTGACTTTTCGTTGAATTAGCGGGATAACAGCAACGCCTTCGCATCTATTTTGGCTAAATAGAGTGTTTCCAGCTTTTTATTGCACCAAAATGTTCTACATCTCCTTCTCATTCCACATGTGTTGTATTAACCACAAATACACGCCATTTCACCAACAGATAATTTATGGTATGCTGTAGGTTTAAGAGTAGGCTGCCATGGTTGAATAATTCTCAAACCTACAGTGAGGTTTATTTACTTGGCTATAAATTTTGAGCCCATGAAATATCAACACAGCACTGTGGTACCTTATGGGCATAAGCAATGTTCTGGCCATTCCTTTCATGACATGTAATTATGTGTAGGGCTGCTCATTTTTCGTTATGTATCCAAGCGTTTCTTTGTAAAGTTGACAAAATTGGTTTTGTTTGCATTAAACATTCTCACCTGTTAACCTATAGTATTGTGGTCGTTATATAATCCCAGGCAAATGCAGAGTCATCTTGGTTTTCACATTGCCATACTGGTTGGAGATATTGGATTTCTGTCCGTTTAAATTTCCTGAAACATCATTTAAAAGCCAGAGAACGCGGAGCAATATACAAGCTTGCTGCCCACGCCGATAATAGTAGCTGGTAGTACGGATACCTTAAATTGTTTTCCGAATGCTTTTATTTCCGTCATAAACCAAAGCGGTATAACAGGGCGATGGGCGGCGTTTTTACTCACCCATCAGTTTCTAAGGCAACACGAGGAGGAACGGACACTTGTGAAGGACGAGAGATCCACAACAGATGGCGAATGTTTAAGGGCACTGGGATCTATGCCTGAAAAATTGCCCCCTGTTCATATGGTTTCGCGTACCAGTTCTCAAGTAATGCTCTGCCCTTCAGCGCCACCTACTCCTTACCGCGACCGATACCACTGATGGCAGGTCATAACTGAGAAGTGGAAATAGGGACCGCCCTGAAGCGACCCAAACCCACCCCGCCACGGGGGTTTCGAGTTCCGATCCGCCTACGTGCTGGCTTGGAACCCAGACCCAGCTGGTCTATCGGAACGGACCAATGCAAGAATCGAAGTTCTTACTCTTGAACATTTAGATGATGTTTTAGGACATAATGAGGGAAGAAAAACTGATGCTCTCGTGAAGTCCGTTTTTGCACCAGCTTGAAAGCTGCCCCGAAAAGTTGACAGCTGCCTTAATGCTATGCAACCAAGATCATCAATCTAAATTGCTGTGCAATGCAAATATTGACATCCTTAAACTGTAACATAACTAAGAATTTTTTTGAGAATACCTTCAAATCTGCAGAGAGTCGAACGCATGCCGCATGCGACCACGTGGTGAAGTGCAGCCGAGCAGATATTTTTAAAGGTAAACAAAAAACAATATAATTTGACAACGTGCGTTGTTTATGCCACTGCGGTCCCATGGCACCAATAGTTTCACAAACTCATGACTTCTGCAGTAAATCTCGCTCCCATTTTAATACCACCGACGTGGTTCCCCCGCGTCGGTATGGTGACGCAGGTAGCCTTAACTATTTCGCTCGTAAACTTGCGACATAATAGTTAGACCCGCTAGGGTTTCAAGGGCTTCGAACCCTAGCCCCATCCTCTTTACTGTACCTTAGCTCTCGAATTAGATATGCGTGGCGCGTAAGGAAATGGTCTCACTGATGTCAATGCCAGTAAAATATCGGCGGCGGGTATCTCGAATCAATCTCATTGCGGTTCTGATTCTTTTCCTGCTGTTTTAATCCTTCAACGATCAAGGATATGTTGCGCACAAAATAAAACCACGTACTGAACTATGTCGAATGAAGGTTCATTGCTGCATCAAAACATCACCCTGTCGGCAGACACCGGATGGATTTTGCTGATGGTGGCGGCATTTGCTGGAGCCTGTGTCCCAAATGGTCTGGACCGAACGCTGCTGAAGGCATATCCGACTGATTTGGTCAAGAACCAGGCTATCGTTCCGTTCGTCATGTCCACGCTGATGACACAGGTTTGGCTGGGAGCCAGGGGCGACACCAGGGATGAGGTACGTGCCAGGTAACGAGCTCTGTACACCGTACCACTGCCTTAGATTGCACGCGCACCGAAGGACTGTCTCAGATCACCGATTACACGTAAATGCTTGGAGCGTGCTGAGAAAGGTGGGCAGTGACAATGAACGAGAGCCTTCAACGGCGATGTGTTAACAAGGATAATTTGTGTGACCGCTGCTTTGCCTACCAGATAGCCTTCCACACCCACGGACGAAAATCGGTTAGTGCAACTTAAGCTACCAATGTGTAATCCAGTGCATATTTCGCTAGATTGCTTTAACAGCTTGTACGGTTGTAACAAGTTACTGTTATTTAGCTTGTCTTCAGTCTTTGACATTGAAATACCTCCATGAACTTGTATATCCGATTACTCTTATATCATCTAGAAGTAAAACTATCGGTGCATGCTGAGCTTGGCACCTTTTGTTTCCGCACATTCTTCAGAAATTGAACCTGAAACTGGTCTGTTTCCACTTCCGAACAACAAAGTAAGATGTAAACCCACGAATGAGTTGGACCACTTAAACAATGGCGTGTTATTATAACCAATTTTTATGAACATGTCAAGCATTCGGGCTTGATCAATGCGTTCTGATGAGTAACAGCCGTACCTTTTAAACCTATAATTGCATTTTGCATGATTCTCTTGCCCCCAGATGACGATGCTGCTTATGGAGATGACAGATAAAGGTGCCGAAGCTGCAGGAGCAGGTGCCGTCCCTGGTGGGGTCACAAGCGTGCTGCCTGGACCCATTCAGCGTATGGCAGATCGTCCCTTCTTTGGCATTGTCTGGAACAAGAAACCAAAGATGAACTTCTTCTCTGGGCACATAGCTTCACCATAAGCGAATGGCTAAGATCATGCACGCTATTCTGAGACAAGGCGTAGGACCCACACTGCATAGCGTTGATCGCATTAAGCATGCTGTGAGTGCAGTTCATGTAACGGCGGCTCCCATCATGGCTGGGTGCGACCGACAAACCTAATGTCACACAATCCGGAATAAATGGGTGGAGGGCTGCGATTCTTTCGTGACGAAGTTCTTCTGTCCTTTATGCGTCACCTTACCACTGTTTTTGGGGCAAATATAGGGAATTGCTTGTCACTTGCAAACATTCTCCTAACTCATCGCTTGCGCTGAGCACTTTTCGTCCTCTGCACCACTGTTGAAGAGAATGACACGATCTTTGTGCTTTTTAATCTTGGATTTTCACTGCAGTGTGTTGGCGATCTGTGGTTAACGCAATCCGCACTAACTTGGGTAATCTGGTGCTTTAGAAATATACGCTTCTGCGGAAACGTTGTCTGCTTGTCACATTCTACCACTTCGTGAACGAGTTGGGTTTGAAGGATAGAACGAAAGCAGGTTCGATATACGGAGTACGCGCATTGCTGCATTAGTCGTGGTGCTTCCTGAAGAATTGCAAAGAGAGAAAATTTTACATCTCGAGGAAATGCACGATGTCTATCCCAGAATGTACTGAAGAATGCACAAACATGCCTGAAAATAGCAGTTTCTGCTCCGCCTTGATGCAGGAATTGCACAAGTTATGTGCGTCGGGAAGCGTTTAGCGGCGTTTTAGGACATTTAAGGGAGAGGTTTCCCGCAGTTTTGGATAGTCGTGGAACACATTATAAAGCTGCGCAGAGTTTCCAACAATTTTGACAATGCATACGAAGACCCACATGGCGCACAGCTTGATTCATGAATGCCGATCCTCATGCCGTCGCCGGTTTTTGCCAGCCAGCCAGTCGTCGGTAGGCGGGGCATGTCCCGCGAATGCAAGAAGGCAGCGGGCGGCGCGGTGTAGTCTTAATGCGAAGCGACCTGTACCGGGCTACCCCTTGTAAAGGACCAATCATGCGTCTTACCCTTGATACGGGACATCTAGGATAGCGCCTCTTTACCTTCTGTCCGACGGGGAAGACTGGTGTTGTCAACTTCTGTCAGGCTGAAATTGACAGTCATATCGCTTTGGGGGCGCTTTGGAGACATGTTGTAACAATGGTCGATCTAGCCACGTTTAAGGCACAACGCGAGCGCCTGACGGAGGCTGCGGGGCATCGGGGGCACAGGTAGGGGTGAAAAGGCGCCTTTTATGTCACAGACACAATTGTGAACTAACTTGTCACTTAGAGTGAAATATATCAGAAAAAACAACAGTTTGGTTGGAGTCTGGTTGTTTTCACGATGTGAAAAGCTGACCGGCTTGAGAATGTAGCTGATCGTCAATTTATTTGAGGACGCTTTGTGGCTTTCCTAAGGACCTGCCAATGAGGTCGTCGCTGAAAATAACTTTAAAAAAGCCCTGTTGACCTATGAGGCTCGTTTGTGGACACCAGGACTTTAGCATCAGAAGTCAACGGAGGACATAGGAGCGACACAAGTCGAAGATTCATCTTGGGCTTTCTGCTGCCAAGAGGAACAGCGGCTTTGAGGCAAAATGCCGATTGCCGAGCATCGCTGGTGTAGGTCTCCCACACTGCCGGTGGCGCCTCAGACTTAACATTCTGACCGGTGGACAGGCAAGAGATAGCAAGTTTATAGTCGTCATTTTTCTGTACATAGTGCTAATGGAGACTGCTGAGGTGTTGAAAAATGTCTTGTGCATCTGCCGATACCAATGTTGTGTGGTCTTCGTATGAAGCACAGCTCTGCGCCAGTACTGATTAAGCAAAGGTAGTGACGGTCGCGAGCGCTTCCAGCTGATTATACGATGACGTCACGTCAAATGAAAGCTTTCAGGTGCCTGTAGACCCATGTTATCGGTAAAGGTAGAGCCACAGCAATGCAGTTTTGCAAAATGCGTAGAGGTGAATGCGCAGAAAGAAAAATAACTGAGGCTGCTTTCGAAATGCACTTGAACTAGTTTTCTCCACAGATTTGGCCCACTTTCTTATAAGACATAGGGGTAGGGATGTAGTGCCTCAAAATTTCTTTTGGGGCGGCTGGACCCTAAAAATGATGAGTAACGAAAAGCGATGAATGAAAATGATGAACACAAATAGAAAACTGCATCCCTGGTTAGGAGGCACAATTCCGTCCCCCCCCCGCACAAACTGAGTAGAAACTATACGCTTCTAGACTGGCTGTGTTAAGCATGCATATATCTAATAATTTTATTAGCTCAGTCGTAAGTCTGCTTCAGTGTTTGATGGGCAGCAAATGATATATAAGTACAAATACCCTCTCGAAACGGATGCGCTTGACGGTAATAATGCATTGTTTTCAGTTGTCTTCATTTTTGCGGTTTGCCGCAAGTTAGTTATATTGCAACGCTTTCTGACAGATTTGGCTCCAGGGGACAGATCAGATGGTTTCTAATCTCGTTGATGACAGAAAAAAGCACCTTTTCACCCCTGTTGGTGTGAAACACCTCAAGTACGCATTCCCCACCTCCTGCGTGTTTTGCAAAACGACATCTCTGCGGCCAAAAATCTACTTATAAACTTGACTTTTCAATCACCTAGAATAACATGAGACACAAATAGACAACTTAGAAAACAATAATTGCATTTGAATCCATGCCTTCATGACCCCCAGCACATGCTGAAACAGCGACCTTCATTGCCAAAGACGAGGTTCCTTTCAGCGGCTGGAATGTCTGGATAAGTCCTTCACATGTGTCGGTTCTGCATCCTCTGTTGACCTCTGGTGCTACAGATTGGGCATGCACAAAGACCCTCCTAGATCAGCAGGGCTTTCAGACACTATGTACTTCCATGGATGCCCTCCGTTGTAGATCAGAAGAGCCGAGCTGCGCCATAAAGAAACTGATGATCAGCTACGTCCTTCAAACCGGTGAGCTTACCACGTCATGTACATAACGAATGGCAGCTTAGACAACGATACAGACGACCTCGCCCTGCACTCACTAAACCCAGCTCAAAACTACCTCGCCGGTATTTGAAGCCACTTCCGTCAAATAACACGATTTCCAACGAGGTGCATCGACTGATCACGTGCGATGCAAGATGTTGATGCAAACCACAACTCAGACGAGGGTATGCTGCAATGCTGAACTATTCAAGCATAGTGGAAAATATCCCATGAGTGTGGTTGAAGTGTCCACTAAGAACTACGGACTGCTGTCAGTTCTGTGCTGCTCTGAGCTCCACAAACTCGAGTTCACCTTATGACAGCGCGTTTCTGTTTTCTCGTTTCTGCCCTGCCGACCTATGAGGCTTGTTGTTTGTGGATACCAGGACTTAAGCATCAGAAGTCAACGGAGCGACACACGTCGAAGATTCATCTTGGACCTCCTGCTGCTAAGAGGAACAGCGGCTTTGAGGCAAAATGCCGATTGTTGAGCATCGCTGGCTTAGGTCTCCCACAATGCCGGTCGCGCCTCAGACTTAGCAATTTGACCGGTGGACAGGCAGAGATAGCAATACTTTAATTGTCACTTTATGGTACATAGTGCTAAATGGAGGCAACTGAAGGTGTTGAAAAATGTCTTGTGCATCTGCTGATAGCAATATTGTGTGGGCTTCTTATGATGCACGAACTCTGCGCCAGTGATGAATAAGCCAAAGGTAGTTAGTTAGTTCCGTGTTGCGGCAGGCCTGCTCAACATTGATGGATTCGTCCAAAGACGTCTGTTACATATAGAAATCGTGCTCACGAAAGCCAGATGTGAACGGCTCGACGATGCTATCTTTATTGACCTTGCACGGTGCATGGTTAATGGCGTTGCGCATCTCTGAATGACCTTGGAATAGTCTGCGCGAAATGGCTGCACATCGTTGCGGGCGTATAGTTCAGAAACTAGAGGCTTATGGGTCTCAATAAGGGCAGGACTGTGAGCTGCACCAAATGATTTCCAACATGGTGGTTTCACTTCAAATCCCTATACAATTATGCAACACCCACATTGAGATTTTCCATGGCCATTCCTGAAAGGTTTAGGCACGTGTTGCGATATTGAGTACTTGGGCTCACATCGCTCTTACACATCCTGTGAATGTTAAAGTTTCTATCGCTGATAGTTAATGATCTATGACCTCTCTCTCGAAGTCATGTCGGTGACATTTTGCTTTAAATCAACAAATAACGCTTATTTTCCTAAGAATACGCGCTCCACATAGCGTTTCCAAAACTTCTTTCTTTTTGTGTCACTTCGAATGCCACAGCTATTGTTGCAGTGTTTTTCTAAGGAAAGCTTTTCCACGGATTGTGAATCAATCCGCGAGCCGGGTTGGCAGGGGTGGTAAGTGTACTTTTTGTCACCGACCAAATTTTTGGAGCAAACATTGTCGCCAGTAGCGTAATACGATATCATATGACAAATTGGTCATTTAGTCCATGCTCAGTACCGTGACCAGTAATCAGGCTAGCACAGAAAGCATATTTCATCACTGCCGCTTTCAATGTCGTGGACATAATCGAAACGTTCAGTCATGCACTGCCCTTGAACAAATGTCAGGATAAGTGGCGCTGCTAGGAAAGCAGGCACACCTGCCCTAGACTAATCAGATAGCCCAGTCACAACATGGGTTCTCTTCCACCCTCGGGACTTGCCGGGGCCTCACGTTTAAACTCAATCTACGGCTGGGTTTGCTTTTCTCAACCGCGAAAAAAGAACAACGGAGGACCTCGATAGCCAGGGCTGCAGAATGCATGGTAGATTCCGAATCAGTAGCAAGCGTCACTAGGAATGACGTCAGAAATGAGAGCATTCACGAGGCCATGCCTGCTTATGAAAATCACGTTTGCACCTGCAGCCCTATCTCAACCGCCATCAAACTATCCACCATACCTTAGGCATGCTCCAAGCATGGTGCGACATGCTTTGACTGGTGGGCGCCTTTCGCAGTGCCCCAAGAAGTAAATTGCGTAAAACTTTAACAACAACTTCACATTAGGCGGCTAGCTCGTTCTCAACAAGTTACTAGCCCTGGCAGGAGGGGTGGGGGTGGGCGATGCGACCCCCCTACGGTTTTCTGAGGACACCAATGCGGCATATCGTGCAGTCTTGCTCAAATCTTTGCTTGCCTCTGGGGCATCCATTGTTCATATGTTGACACCATAAAAGTGCCCCTGGCAATTCTGGTTTTAGAGAAGCGATGTTTTTGACGACCATTACAAGACGATTCACGGCCGGCGGGTGGCAAGCGATGGTTTTGACCAGAAATTACTACCAACACATGGATGAGGACTGGACCAGATTTTTAGATCGGTCAGCTTAGACGGATTGAAAGAATTGAAAACTAATCAAATACAAATCATCATTTAATAGTCCCTGGAATGCTCAATGATGCACACTGAACAGCGCGGCAGCTCAGGGGGTGAGAACAGCGCCC